GCTAAATTAAATACAGATACTCTCTGAACAACAACTTGGAAACAATTTCCTTATCCTTGTTGTGCTAAAGTGATCTTTTGCTGTAAGAAAAGAAAACACTCCTGTCAAAGTCACAGCTTAAATTAAATCTGTTTAAGTTTCTGTTTTAGTACCACAAATGATTGATTTCTAATGGGATTTGTGAGTGGACACAAGTATTCATTACCTATTTATTTCTATTTCTGTTCTCTGACTTCCTAGAAACTCCATCCTGTTTTTATTTTTTTATCATTATTATTTTCTTTTTTTATGTGAAACTCTTACTTTCTAGTCAAACCACTGACTTTCTGGTTCCAAATGAGCCAATACTTACCAGTCTGCCAATGCCTGAATCTCCAGTCTCATAGTCAAAAACCAAATCTAGATCCAGCTCACAGTCAAGTGTCAGTCCTGCACACCAAACTAACAAAGAAAAATACAACGTTGGAAACATTACAGTTTTCATCCACACCCCACTGCTGTATCTGTCCAGCCAGTGCTGTGAAAAAGCATTTGTTGCCCAAAACATTTTTATTTATTTATTTTTTGGTCATAGTTACATTTCATGTAACTATTTTATATCTGTCAGCAATGACGGAAGAAAATACAAAATCAGTTTTTGAAATAATTATTATGAGGGAAAAAGAACAAGCTGGTTCTGTGTGAAAAAGTGATTCTCCATTCTTGCAACATGTGCCTTTACATCACTGTGAAATATTAACTATTTTATTTTATTTTTGCCAAAATCTTACATACCTTTTTAAAGGTTGTTGATTGACTGTTTTTGGCCATGTAATATTCTGTTTTTAATTATTCTCAATTTATTTATCCCCCACATCCTTAGTGCCCCAAATTTGGGGCCAATAGCATTGCTTTCAAAAGATCTTTAAGCTATATTTAGCTTACATTTACATGAAGTTAGTTGGGTTCTTAGTTCTACCCAGAAAATGAAATTACTTAACCTTATGCAAACCTTTCTGACATCTTAAACTTGCATGCGAGATCTGGATAAAATGTGCATGATTTACAAAATACTGAATTCTGTGTTTGCACTGTCACAATGAGTATCACCCTTTTGTCTTTTCCGCATGAACAAAAATCTGCTCTATAGCTTCAGAGCATCACTTTTGTCCCCTGTGCCAGAGTAGCAAAATCGACAGGAGGCCAGCTGTCGGCCTGTTTGTTTGCCTCTCCGCTCTACTCTCTATTACTACCACCTCCTTCTGTAATTACAAGCCTCAGTGCACACAAGCTTACCATCAGGTGGGGCCAGGTCCACAAACACAGCCCCATCACTTCATCTCTTCAGTGTGGCATTTTCACCCCCCATATGAAGGCTGCAGGCTGGTGGGAGGCTTTTTGCACATCAGAGAGTTTGTAGCTTCAGGGCAAACCACCAAGATGAGCTTAAAAATATTAAATGTTGTTTCATCTCATTTGAATGTTACCTCACCAATAAGTGGTTCATCAGCTGAGCTTTCTTTCCTTTCCGCTCTGTGATTTGCTTTCTAGTGTCAAAGATGGTAACAGGAGAATATAGGGATGCAAGCAATGAAACCCATGGAAATATGTCAATCTCACAATGGGCTGTGATATAATTCACTACTTTTTTGTATTTTGTTGTTTTCTGCATCGTGAGGAGACAAAATGTTATCTGCTATTAGGAAGAAACATGGAAATGTATCTGAAAAACACAGAAATAAAGCCAAATACTTTTTAAATTTGTACATTTTGTAAACTTTTGACATAGCCACAAACCTCAACGTTGTGTAATAGACAATGCAACATTACACTTAAAATTTTCTATCAACAAAAATCTGAATGGATGCAAGGCATGCATTTGTATTTACATCAACTCTAAATAAAATCCACTGCAAATAATTTCCTCGAGAAATCCACTGATCAGTAAATAGACCCACATTCTTGTAATTTAATCTTTGTATGAATTAAGCCTTTTTTGTGAAGGCCTCAAATGTTTGCTGGAGTATTTTGGGGGAAAACGAGATCATGTACAAAAATGCATGACCAGAGATAAAAGTTGGAGATGTCTAAGGAAGGGTCAGGTCATAAAATGACCAACGAAAAAGTCATCAATGCAAGCTTATAAAGACATATCTGTCCACCTTAAATGAATGAACATTTGTCCATGAAGCAGCCAACAGACCAGTGGTAACTCTAGAGGAGCTCTGGGGATTCACAGTTTGTATGGGAACATTTGTTGACAGGACAACAATCAGTCATGAATTTTATGAATAAGTAGCAGGAACAATAAGCTGAGAACAAAAGATAGTCATAGACATTCACAATGAAAGTTCACTGAAAAGCTCCATGGGACTCAGTAAACATGCGTAGATCAATGCAATGGTCAGATGAGTAAAATTTTCTACTTTTAGGGCTGTGATAAAAAATTATGTGTAACACTTGACATCCACCTCAACACAATCTCACGTAGGATTGCAGTATTATTTTAGCAGGGTCTAAATACACAAATACGTAATCTATCGCTGTGTGATACTTATAAAGATGAATTGTCATGTTATATGAGAGTAAAGCAGGGCCAAACTGCAGACAAGAGCCAGAGCAGAACTGAGGGAAGGAGACGAAATAACACAATGAAAACAGAAAACTGAACCAAAACACACAGGAATTACAAGACTAAAGGAGAATAACCTGAATGCACAAACAGAAGAAACTAAACATAAATAAATTGCCTAGGATGACTGGATCTAAACAACACAAATTGACATAGAAATTATCAAAACACTAACACAGATAAAAATCAAACATCTATGGCTCCTGAAATGACTGGGAAAAAGTTTTTTTCTCAAGATGAAGACAGACTTCCAGCTGTAATAGCAGTGAAATGTGGTTCTGCAAAGTGAATAAAAACACAACGTACAAATGAAAGTAAAACATAAAAAAGACATTTGTCGTTTTTACTGTATAAATTCCCAATAACAAACACTGAAGTCTAAAATTGCATTGTGAAACAAGTGACAGGATTAAGGGGTTTGCAAATACCAAAATGGGTTCATATGAATAAAATCCCTGGTTGACACCACAAGTAAGGATTTCATTCAAACCCACCACTGTTCACATGTCCTAAAGATGCTGTACAGTCATATTTACATGGCATTGTTTTAAATAGAAGTTATTCTGAAGATTCAAACTGTAACTCTTAAACCATGTGAGAGTCTAATCTTCCTCTGAGACCTCAATTTTTTATCTCGATGTAGGAGTTAAAGTCAGCATTAAGTCTTCTCATTTGGAATGTTCCACAAGGGTATTTCGTTTTGGGAGACAGCGGGCTAAGAAGATTATGAACACAGTTTTCAATTTATCTCGCACACCCTGACTCATTTTTATTGGCTGGGACCCTCTTATCATGTTTTGCCAGGAGCAACATAAGCCAACGGCATCTTCCTCTCTGTGGCTGTAATGGATGCAGCATTATTTTTACCCCAAATGTGACCTTTTTAAATCATTTGCTTCTCATGAATGACTTAAAATTTAAATGGATGGAAGTTGAAACACTCATGAGTGTGGTTTGAATGTTTGCAAGGGTGATTAGAGGCAGTCAAAGCTACGCAAAAGACGGGCTTTTTTGTAAAATTTCCCAATCTCACTTTAGTCATAAATAGAGCAATAATGATGAGCAATGTATAGTTGTTTTTACTCATTGCTATCAAGGGTGCAAAAGTAAAAAATCTCAGGGATCGTTCCAAGCCAAGTTGGTAAAAAAAACAACTTATTACTGGATTGATTTGTTCCAATTAGATCGTCTATGAGGCCCAGTGATGTTTCCGTCTGAGCTAAAGCATTGGATGCTGCTTCTGCTGAGTAAAATATTCATAATTAACTTAATTTGACCTGTTATCCTCAAATGGACCTGCAATCTAAACCATCATTCAAGTCAGTGATGGTTCTTGTAAAAATGACACAGCAGAATAAAGTTAACATCCCTGGTACCTAGAATTAGTTTTCCATGATGTCCCTTCATGAGGATGGAGTGTTACATGAGAAACTTAATATTGGAATCAGTAAGTTTCTAATGTATAGTTTGTTTGCATTGTTTCTAAACAAACCTGGACAACATTTGATCTTTTAAGGAAATATCTAAACTACTTAGACAAATAATTTTACTCTTAATAAACCTAACAGGTATTGTTCAAAACACAATTTAAGATTAAGTAAACATCTTCCCTATATGTGAAAACAGAAAAAGAGATGTTAAAAATGATTATTTTTTGCAACGTAAATTTATAAAAATTTCAGGGTAAGGTACAAAAGTTTGGTAAATGCTACAAGTATCGAAAAAACGACGACAGTGGGGTGATTGTGGGGGATTAATAGGTGACTTCTTGTCCAGGACTCGAGTCAATCAAGAACCACCATTGATTACAGGAATAACTTCTTCCCTCTGAGTGGCACTGCATGTTGTTTGCATACAGTGCCACTCTAGACTACTGGCAAATCACTGTAACTATTTACATGGATATTATCAGGATATGACATTTGTGTTAGCATGGTATTTACAGCAGTATCCATCATAAACTACAGGTAGAAATCCAGACATGGTAACCCAGCAACTCAACTTGCTTTGTCTTGATTTATCAAAAATCCACCATATTTGGGTGTCTTTGTAATGTCATCCAAGAATTACAACATAGAAATAGTGATTGTTTTTTTAAATTGAGCTTTTGAAAAAATTGTGTTTTTGGGGAATCCTGCAGTATGTATTTATTATTTATTGCAAACTGGGCTTTTGATATCAATGAATAGTTGTTGATGAAAAAGTAAATGACTTGCAAGTAAACTTGATGTTATTTAATCAGTGGGTATTTTAGGCAACCTTGAAAGTCCACATGCATCAGTTGGGCCTTTGCAGGGTCTGAAAAGAGAGAGTGGGACAGAGAGAGAAGTTCCCGGTGTAAAAAAAAAAAAAGGCTGCATCAGGATATAAAACCTGGAGACAAGAGGATGCTCCTCTCTCAAACCCGCTGCCATCTCAGTGGCGGAAATGTTGGAGTTGGGGTGGGTCGACTTTGAGGTGACATTGACGCTATGTAGATGAGAGTGAGAACCCTGCGCTCCATGTTACGTCCCTGCTCGCTTCAACTCAAACGGCGGCAGCTCCTTTCCCCGTCTTCTCTCCCTGCCTCTCTTTCAGCACCACTCCTTTAAGGACAGCACCTCGCTCTCAAACACGCACTTGTCCACCATCCTCTCCCTCCTTCAGGATCAAATGTCTGCTCCTTGACGGATGCAAAGTTTCCACCTTGGCTTCGCCGAGCGCGAGTAAAAGGAAGTAACTTTTTTGGGGGGGAACATTGGATATTTCCCCGGTGGGAAACAACCGCACAAACAAGCTGTGATTTTACTGTAAGTACATTATTCTTATAAAAACTGTGTTTTGTTTTAATAATTTAACAAAAGAGATATATCTTTGGAATCCTATCCAGAAGCGAGGTGTTAGGACATCGCCACGTCCAGTTGCGATACATTCGGCAAAGCGTGCAGATTTGCGGCTGCTCTTCTTTGGAGGCAGACGAATTTTACCATGACTATTTTTTTTTTAGTTTTTTTAAAGATGTATGACATCTAACGTGAAATATAAAAGGAAAAGTGAGTATTACGCAGAGAAACTGTGCGCTAATGTCGGTCTAACAATCAGTTTGTGCGTCTTATATGCACATTTTGCATAAATTTGGAGCTACAATAACTTCATATATGTTTTCATCCAAATGAAACGCATCTCTCAGGCAACCAGAAACATTTAAGACCTATGTTACCTCACGCCGCTCCAATTACGCACGAAGCGGAGAGCGCTTGAGAGCGCTTCATCTTTCCTTTTACTCCTGTTATTTAAAATGTATTTTGAATATGAAAATAAAATATCCAATCTAAACCCATATATAGGCTACACATATATATTTTTAATTCTAAAGACCGGAGGTTGTTTTTGGGGCATCAAATTATACAGATTAATTAGGGAATAAACCTGTATGGTGAATGGATGGATAAAAGAAATCTGTTGAAGGTGCAGCTCCTGCGAGAGTTATTAGCCTCTCCAGGTGATTCATTAGACGTGGGCTTTGCGACTGCGACTCCTAAATGTGTTTAATTGCTCTGCTCTCGTACCAGAGCACTGGGAAGTGGGCCATTGAATGTAGAGCACAATGAATCAAGGACAAGAGCAGGGCTCTAAATTTCTTCTAACACGGATCCACTTCAGGCCATCAGAAGTGATTCTTGCTGTGGGATGAGTCCTTATTTGATCCCGGTGAGGTCCATTTACTGTGCGGCAGGTCTTTCGAAAACTAAAATAAAATAAACAGATATATATATATATATAATATAATATATATATATATATATTATATATATATATATATATAATATATATATATATATATATATATATATATATATATATATATATACAAACACACACATTTATAACATTTTACATGAAAATCAAAATTTCAATTTTTGTGGAAAAAAAAGAGAAGAGAAAACAGTATATTAACCAGTTCTTTCTTTTTTCAGGGTCTCTTTCTCGCCCTCGTACCTCATCACTCAGACCTTCAATCATCCCTTTTCTCACGGCTTCTCTCTGGGGACTACGATAGTGCAGGACGGATACGCCGCGCTCTGTCTGGACTGGTGCTGAAACCACCATCTCTACGTTGGGCAGGACCTTCCAACACAGACCTTCAGTATGGCCACAAACGGAACCAAAGCCTCGGACGGACACGTCTTAACCGAGACCGTGAACGACGCGCCCAGCACCACGCCAAATGACAAACCCAAAACACTGGTGGTGAAGGTGCAGAAGACGAAAAAGGACATACCCGAAAGAGAAACGTGGGGTGGGAAATTTGACTTTCTCCTCTCTTGTGTCGGATACGCAATCGGACTGGGAAATGTGTGGAGATTTCCTTACTTGTGTGGGAAAAACGGCGGAGGTAATCAGGAATTATTTCACTATTTTCAACAAACACCAAAACGGAACGTAAAGGTGACGCGACCAAACCTCGAGAGCATAATTCTGGAGAGTTTGAAATAAAAGAAATCTTAAGTGTATCTTCTCATCAACGCCGTGCGTAATTGCGCACAAGCAGAAATAAAAGAAAATCTGCGCGCTTTTCTGGGTGCAGCCTGAAACCAAATACTCCCTCTACCAAGTAACATGTTGGATTATAGTGAATATTAATTTCATGATTCACACACTTTTGCTTCTCACCTCTCATCCAGGGGCCTTCTTGATTCCCTACTTTTTGACGCTGGTATTTGCTGGCATGCCCCTATTCTTTCTGGAGACGGCTCTCGGTCAATACACTTCTATTGGAGGTCTCGGAGTGTGGAAGCTGGCCCCAATGTTCAAAGGTAATAAAATATATAACTAACTGGATTAATTAATAGTTGAATCTTCATTACTCACATGTGATTGGTATGTTCCTATGTAGAAACTTTATATTCTAAACAGTTTGCCTTCACTATGTTATGACAAAGAAGCAATCTGAATGCATGCAATTGAAATTGAATCTTTGTTTGATTTTATTACATTGGTTGCTAGTGAGTATATATTTTTGGATAAAAACTGAGTCTGTTTGTCTTATAAAATCTCTTCAGATGGCTTTTTTTATCATTAGAATAATACAAATGTATTAATTTCACTGAACTGAATTAAAATAAAGTGAATTGAATAGAGGTCAGATAAAATAAAACCTTACCTTTCAAACTACTTTTTGTTTTTTCTCTCTCTTTTTTTTAACATAGAGTTAAAAATATCCCTGTATTTTGTATTCCAGGTGTGGGTCTGGCTGCTGCTGTTCTATCTTTTTGGCTCAATATCTATTACATTGTAATCATTGCTTGGGCTATTTACTATCTGTACAACTCCTTCACCACTGTGAGTATATTCACTCTGTAAAATCATGACAGCCTCTCCCTTTATGTCATTCAAAGCGTAGCTGTTCTTTTTAATGTATCTTTACATCGTAATTTACTTTAGTCATGTGGCAGGCTGCTTGCCAGAACCTCTTATGTAAGGCTGCACAACCCTTTAACAGAGTATGACTTTTATTACTTCCTTTCCCGCATAATTAGCGCCACACACAAGGTATTGATAAATGCATTCTGCGATGAAGCATTCACTCCACTGAGAAAACCATGAAATCTCAATGTCCCGAATGAGCATCACAGTCTTGGCTGCCTGACAGCTAAGACTGAGAATGGGACTCGGTGATGGGAGCGGGTTCGAGAAAAAAAGAGCTTTCTCCCTGTCGCTATGTGTGTTTTTTTTTTTCTTCTCCTCATTTTCAGGACCTGCCATGGAAGACATGTGGCAACGCCTGGAACACAGATCGCTGCTACACTAACTACACCATCGCAGACACGACAAACCTCACCAGTGCTGTGGTGGAGTTCTGGGAGTAAGTTGGACATCTGAGTCGCCACAGTCTGAAATGTTGTGAACAGATTAAATCTGATAAGGTCACTGCCTGCCAGTGAGGGTAACAAAGGGTCAGATTAGGGATCAGAGATAGGCTGATGTAGCAGTTTGCATGCTATGAACCAGATCCTTGAGTAGAGAATTTGCTTCAAGACATTTTTAGAAAAAAAAAAAAGAAAAAAGATACAAACAATGCAAAACAAAATGCAAAAAACAAAACAAAAAAAGACTTTGGAGTTTCAGGGGGAAAACTAAATGTCTACATACCAAGATGCATGGATGCATATTTGTCCATCAATGAGATTCATGTTACTCTTCTTCATAACAGTATGGCCACTTTGCTTTTTCGCTACAGACGTAACATGCACCAGCTGACGGACGGTTTGGAAAAGCCTGGGGAGGTCAGGATTCCACTTGCCATCACTCTCGCCATTGCATGGGTGCTCGTCTATTTCTGTATCTGGAAGGGGGTCAGCTGGACAGGCAAAGTGAGTAAACAAAGAGGCTAAACAAACAAATAGAGTATCAGAGTCTGCAGTAAAGATAAAGGATTACTTATGAGATATCTTCTAAAATCTGCTTTACTGTTTATTGGTGTAGTTTTTTGTCATTGGCATACAGTACATTAAAAACAACTAAATAACAAAAGGAAAGCTCTTTAATTCAAGTAATTGAACATATTTGCTTATTTTACAAAAAGGTCAGTGTCCTCTTCATTTTAATGACTTATTAAGTTGAATGCACAGGCGTAAAATTGGCTCAGATAAGAAGGTGAAAGTGCACTGGGAGTGTGCTGAACCTACTCATCCTGAGGTCATTTTGTCTCAGAAGAAGGACTGACTGGGACACTGCAGTGCTGTGGGGATGGTGCCACAGTAACAGTAAATTGACAATTTGAGCTAAATAGCTTTTTTGTAGAACAAATATACTCAATCCAACATGTAATTGTACTTTACAGAATGTAGCGATTGCTCTAACAGTGACGTGTCTCACAGGTTGTCTACTTCTCGGCAACATACCCTTACTTTATGCTGTTCATCCTGTTTTGCCGTGGCGTCACTCTGCCTGGAGCTTTTGACGGGATTCTCTTCTACATCACACCAGACTTCCAGAAACTCAAAGAGTCTGAGGTGAGTCTTTTGACTTGTGTTGAGAAAGATTCAGCTGTGTGACATAAACTGCAGACCAGGAGGCTCCAGAGCATGAACTGTGCCAGAAAATGGATGTGTTTCTCTCTTTTGACATAAAATTTCCAAAGTTGTGAGTTGACTACAGAGAGGTCTGTATATGGAAGAACATTCAGAGTGCTGATATGTTAATGGGATTTTTGCAGATGCAGTGCTATGCAAAATATTTTGGACATTTTTGTCTCCTTTCAACTTCCTTTCAATTTATACTTTGTGTTGACAGACCAACACAAAGTATGACATAATGTGTGATGTGGAAGGAAAATAATACATGGTTTCCTAAATAAAAAAAACATAACAAGCGTAACATGCATTCATATCCATTCCAGTTGCACTGGTTCCCCTAAAAAAGTCCAAACAGCTAACTCCAGAAGTTACAAAATTATAAAACAAACTCAATAAGAGTGCATTAACTTCTGCATAATTCTCAGTTTAAGTGGACAAAATTGATGACAGAACATTTTTGTGCTCTCCATTAATCATAAATTTAGAAAAAAATGGCAAGAAAGTTAAAAAAAAAAGAGTCTTACTTAGAGTTGCCACAAATTTGTGTTGCTCTGTCAGATGCAATCCCAGTATTTTACTGTGACATTTGCATTATAGTAAGTACTTCTCAAAACCATAGTGGGTACAGATCAATACACACAATACAATGCAATATACTATTTAAATTTAAAGCTAAACATACATGTTGCTGGTTAGTTTAAATTCAAAGGATATGTGGCCAACGTTTAATTAATTCACGCGTGAATGTCACTATTGAGATGACACTATGCTTTTAGTATTGAGAACGGTGTGATGAGAGTGGAGGTTCTTTTTGCTATTACTGTTTAAACAAAATAATGGACATTTCAATATCAATCTCTCAAGCTAATAATTTAGAAAAAATGCTTCAACATCCCAAAAAATTTGCAGATATTCATTTCTACACAGTGACTGGCATGTTTTCTAATCCCTGTGTGTCAGGTATGGCTCGATGCTGCCACGCAGATCTTCTTTTCCTACGGTCTGGGATTAGGTTCTCTGATTGCGCTCGGCAGCTACAATCCCTTCAATAACAACGTCTACAGGTAGGTGACACAAGTATGCTGCCTTAAGGCTCATTTATCACTGCAAATTTACAGCTCTGATCGCCCACATGGCATTTTTACAGAAATAATGCAAATGTCTCCAATTTGTTGTTTTTGTGTCAACTCTACAGTAAAAACCTTTCTTTATTTTTATCAGGGCAATTGATAACACAGGATTCATTGTTAATTTATTTTGGTTGTTTTTTTGTTTTTACAATTAAACAATATGTAACTCATTTTATGTCTCATCCATAGTCAGCTTAAAGAATAAAGACTGGTCAGGGGCAAAAGTGCACATATTGAACAATATTAAAGCACACTGCTGTTTAAAAAAAATTTAAAAATAAAAAGAGGTTAGCACAAACTGCATGCTGTGGTTCTGCAGGACACAAAATGGCTTTCGAGTTCTCCCTCCTCCTTTCCGCTCAAACGTTTCTCTCCAATGTGTGACGGGGTGATAAGGAATTGATACAGCCGTAACAATGGCCTGTGCTCTGTCTCTCCCCTGCAGAGATTCTATCATTGTCTGCTGCATCAACTCCTTCACCAGTATGTTTGCTGGCTTTGTCATCTTTTCCATTGTGGGATTCATGGCTAATGTAACAAAGAGGCCAATTGCTGATGTGGCGGCCTCAGGTAATTGCAATCAACGTTGAAATACAACAATAGACAATGTAACAATGCAACAATAGACACAAGGACAAGATTATACATATATGTATATCATTTCACTGAATTTTATATATTTACAATCAGAAAGAAATACTGGGATATTTATTAAAAGAAAGGCTAATTTCTTTTATGTTTGTTGGACAATTAAGTTGAATTTTCTCCCAAGATATTTATTTAAATAACAACTTCTATTTCTATATTTTATTAATTTATCTTTTTTCTGTATTACATTTGCTCAACATTTGCAAGGGTTCTTCTTTATTGATACCAATAACATATGCTTACTAAATTTCCCACTGTATATTTGAGCTAACAGTAATTTATCTTACATCAGGACCTGGCCTGGCATTTTTGGCATATCCTGAAGCCGTCACCCAGCTGCCTGTCTCTCCTCTCTGGGCCATATTATTTTTCTCCATGCTGCTGATGCTGGGAATCGACAGCCAGGTGAAAATAATCCAATAAATATGGTCTGATTTTTGGACCGTTCCAATACATATTTAGCTAAAATTGTTTTTTAAAGCTCTAACTCATGACATGATTCTGTCCTCATGTCACAGAATTTCATTATTGCTACTTATCCATGTACTTTGCTATAGTGCACTAAAAAATTGCAATGATTTTACTGTAACAGCAGTGTGTTAAGTGACACAGTTTTAAAATGGCTCTACAAACTTTACAGTTCTGCACTGTGGAAGGTTTCATCACTGCACTGGTTGATGAGTTTCCTCACATCCTCCGAAAGCGTAGAGAAATCTTCATCGCTGTCGTCTGCCTTGTTTCTTATATTATTGGCCTGTCCAACATCACACAGGTAAGTATGTGGCAGTATTAAGCACGAGTTTCCTCTGTGTTTCTGTTTTTTATGAGATTGATTCTAACAGAAATAAAAGGCTGTTCAGATAAATATTACCACTTCTTAATTGTACATTTTGATTTCCGAAAGACAAGCTACAGTTTTCCTGTTTAACTTTTGAAGAGTTTCATGTGTAGTAAGGCATTTATTAGGTCTTATTCAAGTTTTAAACTGCTAATTTTCTGTAGCTGCTATTTATGCTGCAGTGCCACTGCTAATGCACCAGTGAGTGCCTCTTTGTTAGAGTTTCCCCCACTAAGAGAGAGAGACTGTTACCTCTATGTGTGTTTCACTGGAAAGAGGGAAGGTCCTGATTGTTGTTGTTGTGTATGAACCAAACAGTTGTTTAAATGACTCAGTCTTCTTGAAGTTTCTGAATAATCTTTTGCAAAGGATATCATTTGGGGATCCTGGGCAGCTTCAATGAATAACAATGGGGTTGCTTGAAGATCTGTGAATCTGAGGAATGACTCCCAGATTATATTACAAGCAATGTTTTCTTTTTGAACTTCTTGGACTTGGACACGCACAATAATTTTAACACAAGCTGGTCAGTCTGACTGATTTTGCAATTGTATATTGATATCTATGTGTTATATATTTGAGTGAGGCCATTGTTGTCAGCTGGTAGTGACACACTCAAAGAGGTCATATGGGTGAACTGGGAATATGTGGCAGTAAGTTCTTTTAAGGACATTCTCAACTCTTTCTGAAGAGTTTCTCAAAGTAATCCAGGAAAGGTTGAGGATTTAGAACTGGCCTTGAGCAGAATCTCCATATTGCAGATGAACTATATACTTTAGAGACCATAAGAGCTTCTGACAGCCACCAGTCGTATTAGATACCATAAAGCTGAAGAGGGAAGATTTTAGGATTTGTTAACTCGTAAGATTTCTGAAGACATTGATAGCAGATGAGCAGCAGAAGTGTGATTTTTGTGGTTAAAAGTGTGAAAAATTAAGTTTTCAAGGAATTTGAAGGTACATTGCAAAATGACTTTCGTTTGGTCTTGGAAAGGTTTTTGAAGTATTGTTTGGCAAGTTGAATAGAAAGATGAATACTACTCTCATGCTCTGTTACCTTGGAATGGTGAACTGAAGACCTGGGAATTGTCAAACTGTATAAGGAATACTTATTTGATTTCCTCATTTGCAATTCCATCATATCCCTTTAGGAAAGACACGATCAAAGGACTTCACCAGTTCAGAGGTTGGTCTGGTATTTAAAAAGCTCCCAGGCAGCAAGTTGACAAGATTTAAACCAAGATACTGAAGGTGTACATATTATTGTGTTTTCATTAATGACAGATGTCTTCAGTATCTTTGGAGAAAGGGGACAAGTCTTTGATTCAGAAGTGTCATTGTGGTCTTTCTTCTGGTTGTTGAAGAGTGACCTGGAAATTAACCCTTTTGGAATCACCAAGTGGGTTAAGATGAGTTTGGTTGACTGGTCCAGAAGAGTTTTTTGGACCTCGACATGCCATTTGACTGAGTCTGCCAAGATAATTTGTAACGGATCCTGTCAGAGAAAAAGGTACTGTCCTTCAATCAACACAAGAACTGTGTCTGCACTGTCAATGTTAAGCTTGTTTCGAGCGCAGGCTGGCCTCAACCAGTGCTGGCACTGATCTTGTATGTGGTGTTCACTGGCAGGATTTGAAAGGACAGGTGTGGAGAGAAAAGTGTCTGGTCAGGCAATCTCTGGTAATCTTGGCATTTTGCTTTTTGATCCTGTTGGCATCTTCAGGTTAAAACCTTAGACATTCACTAAAGTTTGCTGCATCCAAGTTTGAATTAGCTAGCATAATATTTCCTGTATGAGACCATGGATCAAAGTATTGACTTTAGTATTGAGCAGTCTTTACAGCTTATGGTCTGCTTGAACCATGGTAATTGGAGTTTTAAATGAATACATAAAAAAATACAAATATTTCACCACAGAAAATTATTGTAGCTATGCATAAAACTCAGAGGTTAAATAGTCCCTCTGTTCCTCCAGAACTTGATTCTAAAAGGAAATTAACCACTTTTGGCAATGCAAACTAACAATCTTTTCTGTTTGTAATAAATTACCACAGTAACAGGTCTCTTACAAATAAGACACAAAAAAAATCCATATAAATATGTCCCACAGAAATAGTCATTACTGTAGGCTCAGATTTTACACTTCATTATTCCTCCAGACCAGTTTGAGATTTATGTGGCTGCACATAAATACAGCTACATTTTATCTTTATGTTTACAATTTCCTACTAGCCTCATTATCTTCGATTCATTCTTAATTTGCAGGGTGGACTGTATGTGTTTAAGCTCTTTGACTACTACTCAGCGAGTGGGATGTCCCTGCTTTTCCTGGTCTTCTTTGAGTGTATCTCAATTTCATGGTTCTACGGTGAGCATTTTTTTTCATAGTGCATGTAAAAATGACTCAAGTCTCAAAAGTCATATACAGATTATGAAACAAAACATCTTTATCTTGTTAATTTTTTACATGCAGGTGTGAATAAATTCTTTGACAACATTGAGGAAATGATTGGCTACAGGCCCTGTCTGTGGTGGAAGGCCTGCTGGGTTGTTTTCACTCCTCTCATTGTGGCTGTAAGTGTTACCTGTTGTAATATTTAACAATAAACCATTGCAGTTTAATAGTATGTATTTGAATCGTTACACCTTTTGTCATGCTATATCCCCAAATTTCCCTGTTACTGTTGTTTTATGAGAAAGACAAAGATAAACCTATACACACTGTGGATGCTGGTCAGAGTTATTGGGAAAATGGGATATAATGGACAAAATGACTATCAATGTATGATGCTGAGATATGTATTTTTTGTCCCTCTATTTTCCAGGGAGTGTTCTTGTTCAGTGCAGTGCAGATGGTTCCCCTTACTATGGGAGATTATGTGTTCCCTAGCTGGGGTCAGGGAGTTGGTTGGTTCATGGCCCTATCCTCCATGATTCTCATCCCAGGCTACATGGGCTACATGTTCCTGACACTCAAAGGCACCTACAAAGAGGTAAGATGTTATCACCATATATATATCTTCTTTTGAATTTACCTATTTAAACTCAGTGTGCCATACATCTGTTTGAATAAAGCTGCAAATTAGGCCCAGAATATTTGCATAATTCTGAAATCTGCAGCCAAGAAAATGGTGTTGTCAGTTTCTAGTGGATTACTGTTTTTTATAAACTCACTTTAACTTACTGTGCATTGGTATATTACGACAAAATAAGCTCTCCAGATTTTATACAAAACATAATCTTTACACGAATACTCAGTCACATTTGTTACCACAAAGTCAAACTGGAATCTATTCACCTAGAATCAACAGTAAGAATTAATTTGTTGACCTGAAGACAAAACGGTACCCAAATGTAAAAGAGAAAAATGCTGAGCTTTACTTTGTCTTATTTTCTTCAGAGGATTAAAACTAAACTCTGGCACCATGATTCAGTGATTTTTAATGAACAAACTCACAAGCATGCTTGATAGAGAAATAATAAACTGAAATGAAGAGTGTTACTGTGATAAAAGGATTAGTGAAAGAAAAATGATTAGTTGTATAAAGCGTTTTTTTTATAGCTTTTTGTTTCAACAGCCACCGAGCTCTGAGAAAACCATCTGCAGTGATGAAGTCCTATTTTATTGATCTGCCTGTCCTAATCAATAACAGACTTTTTTAGCTCAGCATTTACATTATTGGCTGCTTGATATCTACTGCAGCACAATGTACATAATACAGCTCCCAGTGACAATTATAGCTTATAGATTCTGAAAGTGCAAATCATAATTGCTCACACTGCAAAAGAGGCTATGAGAGGCGAAATGCAGCTGTCAGATCGTGGCGTACCAGCTGATGGCTGATTGTGTAATTGTAGCAATCAGGTAGCTGAATGCTGCTCTGCTTTCAGGCCAACACTTAGTTTCACAAACACTTCATAAAAAGACTGTAGAAGTGTGCAGCCCAACTTGGAAACTTAACGTTTTTTGATAATTTGGTAAATTTTTTGGACACTGACATCCTCCTTGTAATTGCAGATGTGGCATCAATGTGAATTTACTTTCTTATTGTGTAGAAAAAAGAATCAACACATCCCTATTGAACGTTTTGTAATTGTTTCAACCACGACTCTGACCTGAAAGCCAAAGAAAAATTATGTAACATATAAATATAATTCTGATTTATAAAAATGTACTTACAAAAGAGAAAACAAAAACAAAAACTCTTCAAGAGAAGCATACAGACTAATGATTTATGATCTGATGAAATTAGTTATATTGCTTTTTTTGTAAATCAATCATCAAGTGTGAAGACTTTATATATATATATATATATATATATATATATATATATATATATATATAAATCATGTCTGCAGAAACAGTTTTTTAATCCCTCTGATCTTCTCAGCGCCTGCGCATGATGATCAAACCTCTGACTCTGGTGAAGGCTCAGGAAAATGGCCCAGATCAGCAGGCAGAAAGCCAGAATCAAAACCCTGCCAATGAGGAAGCATACATCTAAAAAGAAATAACTAAGCTCTGCCTGCCTCTCTGTTTGAACGGCCAGACTGGCGCTGCACCGTAATCAAGGTTGGGAACAACCACTAGACTTCTACGTCTGCTTTTATTCACCTACCTCCTGGGGACATGTGAAACCAACCTGATTACATGGTTATTTTAAAGGGGGTTGTTCTGTTTCTTTATTTTTATAATACAGAGATATAAAACTTATGAAGAAGAAGAAGAAACAAAAACAGCAAAGTTGTTGTGATATTTTGAATTTCATTATGCAAAAGTTTAGCCCTCTTAGAAAAAGCAAATGTGACTTAGAGAACTACTGTATATTGAAGATATATAATTTAAATCCGAAGGCCCTCATTGATTCAATAATATCACTATGAAAATTATAATAGTCAACTAATCTCAAAATACTGTACAAAGAAAATTGTGAGTAAAATGTATTTTATTTTGTAAATGAGATAAATACTTTAAAATGAATGGAGTGTAGCTGTTAAACAAAAAGCAAAAGTTTTATGGATTAAAAGTTTAATATAGATCAATTTCAAGCAAAGACAATATGGGAATGTGCAACAGGTAAGGCCAAATCTGTTTGTATGTGTAAATTATATCTTAGCCAGACTATCACTCCCTTGCAGAATCGCGCACCTCTTTGGAAATGTTTACTACTCTTGTTGGGGGCTACATTAGAAAAGCACAAGTACCTTGTGGTATTTTGAATACTTCTTTTTGGCATGACTGAAACCTGTGACAACAGCAAAAATAACTTATATAAGATACTTAACAAGACTGTTATGACTGTTTTATTTGTTTTCTAAAGAACATATAATTTGTATGTTGTCTCCGTTTAGGGTCATTTTTTTAGATTATTTTCTATACGTGAACGTGAGAAGGACCAAATTGCTTGCTATCATTTGAACATTTTGTGTAGGCGTTTTACCTGCAGACTAAATATGGATAGAATAATGCACCCTTTTGATGCAGAAAAGCAATAGTTAGGAAAAATAAAACAGCATCAGTGTACAAGCACAAGGTTATTCTACAGACTAAAGCCTCTAATATGAAAGGTATAGCCATGTTAGAAATCCCACAGTTGCTCTGTGCTCTTTACGGTTCCATTTTGAAAGCAATTGTTTGAAAAATGTATATTTTTAAGTAACTGGGGGATGGTTAAGAGGGGATAAAGTACTGAGTGAAGCAGTTACTGCATGCTGCCTTGACAGGCACCCAGCGTTGGCGGTAGAAAAATGGATTTCTGTGACAGCTACCGATGTTCTGCCTGTTCTTGTTTACTTGTAAATCTGTCTAGTAACCCACTCCTCAGGAACAAATGTAGATATGACAAAACAGTTTTAGGCCCCAACTTGATTCACCAAAAGAATTATAACTCTATCTAGAAAAATGTAGTCATTGAAACCTGTCCAAAAATTCTTCATGAATTTTTCTGTCCAAAAAAAATTCATGAAGAATTTAACATCTTATCATCTTTGTGATAAGATACTATGTGCTTTCTTGTTCTTAAAGCACTAACTTGTCATGTCATGTAATAGACATGATATGACAAGTTTGGGTGAAAATTACATGGCGTTACTGTATTTCAACAAATATTTGAAACATACAAATATCACATTATCCAATTACTTTCTTAAATAGACAAGTAATACCTATTTCTGCAGCTACCAAACTAATGTAAGATATTGATTACATTTTAAATATAATATCAGTGATTCCCTGTTATAACATAAACCACTTCATAAATGCCATCTTGACAGATTTTCTACAACAGTAACTCTGCAAGACATGGGCATTTTAACTCTGTTGTATGATATCTTCAAAACTCCCATTAACAAGCAAAAAATTAATTACAGTGTTTTGAATTTATTCCTGAAATATTGTCAAACTGGGATTGATGTCAATCCCAACCCAAGTTCATATTTCAGACTTGTAATGAATGCAGCATAAGCATCCAATCTGTGGTTCTTTTACCAGACAAATGCTATAAGTAGCCCAAAGGTAAAAGACAGTATCAGTACAAAGATTCCTCATCACTCTATGTTTTGTTCAGCCAGCAATATTTCCAAACAATTGGATTTATCTTTAGGAAAAAGTGTTTTAGCTTTTTTTCAGGTAACTGTCAAGCACTTTCATTGTGGCACTTTCTCAAGCATCTCATTAAAACCAGCAGGAAGACAATGAGAGAAAAGTAATGTGAACGTTGATGTGTCTGGATACCAGTAAACTATACCTGTTCTGTAATGGTCCATCTGGAATAAGGTGTATATATATATCATTAATTAATTCTCAGAGCGAGGAGCTTTTTTATCAACCAGAGGACTAAATACTGTTAGCATAAAAACACACAAGCACATGCCACATAGGCCACCAACTCAAGCTATGAAGAAAAGAGAAACATTGCATATCTAATAATACTTTATTCTGTGAATGATTCCAGTATAAAAGCAAACATGGATTTTAACTTTATCACAAACTACTAACAAGGTGACAAAGAAGGATCAAGACAACATGCTATTATGGCAGCTACATACAGCAGGTACCAGGCTGAATCATTCCCATTCCTTAAAACTGTACTGACTTTTTTTTTTTTAAATATATGAATCAAAATGTGCAATGATGCAAGGGTTCCATGAATTTTGTATAAAGTTAACACACCGCATTTTCTCTCTTGAATGATATTGTAAACTGGACTGTGTAATACATGTATCTGTAAATGTCCGTATACACTGAGTTTTTCTTTATTCTGTCTAAATGTTGAATGGAAAAAATGTGACAAGTTTTGCTGTTTTCTGCAATAATACTGTCTCAGAAATTAAGGCACATATCTCTCTCCACTGTAAAAATTATGACAACAATTACAGAATAGAGTAATAATAAAAAGATAATAATAATAATAATAATGTTATAGAAATGTCTAGTCAGGGAATATTGTTTTGTATATTTTTAGCTGTTATATGGGCCTAATGTAAAATATTATATGTAAAAATATAATAAATGTGTTTAGATGGTGTTCTATGAAAAAGCATGATTGCTATATATGTTCTCTGCAAAATTAAATAAAGATCTATAGATTATAAAGTCTGCAATGTGTCATTTTCACCGCATCTGTTTGAAGCACTATAAACCAGCATAATACATAACGGATGTATTATAAAACCATTTCACTTTCTGCAATGGATGATACTTTTTGAGTACCTCCAAACCGTATCAAAACATACAAAACACTTCAAATGCTCTCACTGAGATGGCTGCTGTTGATGCTGACCTGCTCGGTAATATGCTAATGCTATATTTATTACATAAGTGGAAATGAATATGCAATCAGGCTCATCACCCCAAAGATGTTAGCTGTAAACCTGGCTGATGGTATCTGACAAAAAGCTTTTCTGCTGCTACAGTAACATCCCTTTAACACCTGCACAAACCGAAGCTGTTCTGGATAACATCCAATATGTCCCAGCCACAATTCGTCCTCTGGCAGCGCCTGAGCAGTTACTCTCCTTAGTTGTAATCAGAGATGCATAGCAACTAGTTGTAGAGTAGCTCCCTCAAGTTATATGGTTTCCACTGGTGCACAACAATCTTCAAATCTGACCACAGATTCTCAACTGGATTGGGATGATCAAGGTTTATAGGGAATGTCTATTTAGCTGTCATATGTATAGTTAATTATTTACTCATGTGACACAAATTAAAGTGTTATAAAACAGCCAATATGTTTACAGAAGCAACTGTTGCATGTCCAAAAGGATTTTAAATTTGTCGGCAGAAATGAGAAACTGCTACCATGATGTGAACAATGACTGAATGTCATTGTTTGGTTTGAAGGTTAACAATTATGAGAAATTCAATTCTCATCAGAAAAATACTGCAATTAAAAAAAAAAAACTACAATTTTGAGCAAAATGAGGACTGCAATTGTAAAGATAAGCTGATATATCAATCAATACATGGTCGTTTTTCACTTGGACAAGCATGCTTACAGACAATTTTTATGATGTTGTCTCCTGCTTTACACACAAAGCAGAAGACAAAACCCTTTTTACAGATCTGCACTGTGCTGAGCTAAGCACCACCTTTCTGAAGGACAATGCTCTGGCAGCACACCAAAACTGATTAACATCTGTGGTTTTATTTCAGAACATACCTAAGCAGTGATGACTGAGCAGAGTGTTATTTTGATGTGAGAAAGGCAACGCAGCTTCATTTTTAGTTTGTCTAATCCCATTGGCACAGAAACTGTGAGGGTGTCAGGATGTAGATGTTGCTGAAGCTGCCTAACTTCATCTCCTGACCATGTGCCAGTACTGCTTCATATATAACTGTCCTTGACAGGAGAATTTTTTACATTATGTATTTAGGGGTTTCTTAGCCCAATATTGTGGTTCCAACTTAATATGGACTACAGTATTGACAAGACAAGTGGAGGTAAAATCCATCCTTAGAAGGTATAAAATCACAAGTTTACATTATCATTTTGCACTCATTCATCCATCCAAAATTTGTATTATTTTCACAAAATGTGGTTTGCTATTATTTAACCATCTTTACAGAATAAGATTCCTGTTGCTGTTAAAAATCAGAGTTCTGTGCATCAATCTGATACTACTCTTGTGACTGCTGAATCAGTCTGTCACAAATTTTTATTTTTTCAGAAGCTCACATTTTCAGAAGATACTCACCATATATTATAATTTTCTTTATAGTCCACTGGATCTGAAAAAGCACCTATAAGTGCTGTGCAGTATTTTGAAGCTTAGAATTGCAAGACTGTTAGATAAGAGCAGCAATAATACAAAATGTAAAGTTTAAAAGCATATCTGGGGCACACTACCAAGCATTTCCTTCACCTATGATAGAATCCCTGATTAAGCCTGAGTCAGAATATTATTCATTCTTCTGTTCATCTTAACAACGAGGCACTGATAGCATATCTGCGTCTAGCAGAGTGACAGACAGCAAGGCAGTGAGAGAAGCAAATGCCCTTATCGGCGCCTGCCATATGATAGGATTAGCTGGAGTGTTGTCTAACAAACCATTAATGAACAGTTTTAATTGCTTGCCTGGCATTCCCTGCCAAGCTGCTGAACTACACACACACACTCACACACAAAGCGTGTGGAGCTATCCATATTAGGGCATTGCACTTCCTGCCATTTTCTATAGACAGTCAAATTCAAACACTTACTTTTGTCAAAGCATTTTGCATTGTTATGTAATACAGCTGTGTTTACAAATGTTCACAATATTATCAGTTTATCAATTCATCAAAATGTTTCAATCTACCACGACAAACTCATGCTGGATCTGTCAAAATCAAGTAAAGCACTGAATTGTTATGCAATATGCAGGTATGAATGTTTCTAAGAAATTGAACAAATAGTACAGGATTTTATTGTTTTTATTGTGCAACGTGTGTTGACATTGTGACTCAGATAAAGCTATTGAAATAACTCTAATGCTAATAGAGTGAAGCACCAAACAACACGCTATGACTGTCACATAGTACAAGTCAAACAGTGACAAAAAAGCCAAAGAGCATGCCGAGCGACTCAGTGAACCTGATATTCAAACAAAGATTAAAAAAGTAAATCGAGGTAATCAGGCTATCCACAGCCAATGCAAACAAGAGGCAGCACAGAGATGTAGCCGTTGGCACTGCCATCATTCAGTTGCAAGCTTTCACATTCATACTCTGCATGTCTGGATTTCTGCAGCTTGTTCTCTGCTCCCACAATGCATGATGTGTATATTGTTGACTTTGAATTGACCTAATGTGACAGTGTTTGCATGTGCATGCTTGTTTTGGGTCTGTTTGCACAGCAATGGCCTACAAACCTATTCAGAATATATCCTCCTGCAACCGAGTGGTTGTTGAAAATAGTAGAATTAAATTAAATTCTGCATTTAATTGTGCTTTATGGTGATAATATTTTAAATTTAAGAATTTTGCACTACTGAAAAACATTGAAAATTTTTAGTAAAAATGTCTTCTTTAGAATGACAGTCTCGCAATAGTGATTTTTCAGCTGGAAACAGACTCCCTCTCCTGAAAAAAAAACAAGAGGTTCATCTTAACCTCCAATAGGTTTTTTTTTCAGGATAGGGAGAGCGATTGCTGCTACCAATAAATCCTTCCCATCTCTTGCAGTCTCTGAGGCATTTTGCTACGCCACATTTATCACCAAATGTACTAGGAGTGTTAGCAATGTGATTCATCAAAAAGCTCAGAGGCATTCACTTATTCTCTGTTAGAACCAAGTTCTGCAATGGAACATGGTGAGACTGGATGGATATGTTTAAAATGGGAATTAGATACAAATCAAATGCACGTTGTGTCTCTTTATTGCTCTGGAAACAATAGAGACCACTTAAAATGATCAGTTTATCTGATTTTACTTTTTATAAGTATATGTTTGAGTAAAATGAACATTGTTATTTCAATCTCTGAACTACTGACAATTGTTTCTGAACAAAAATGAGTGGTGGAAAATTATTTTGACATTAGAAACATCTCAATTGACATTGCAACAATAAAACTCTTCCAATTATTACTAACCAACTTCTTTGGTGATTCTTCAGGTGGTCAATCCAATCTCTTTGACGTCAGAAAGTCAAGGATGTGAGACACAACAGGTGGAGAATACCCCATTTGAGAAAGAGAAGGAGAAATATTTGCCACTGTATATGTGCTGTAATTGGTTTCAATACAATGAAGATTTATGATTTGCATGCATGCTGATGTGCGTGAGGTCTTACTTTGTAGAGGTCAAGGAATTTAGAGAAAGCAAATCTGGGATTAGCAATCTGGTTTTGAAACTACACATTATGGGCAATCAGCTCAGAGCTGAAATCTACGTTATGTAGATCAATTTATAGGAGACAGATGTTAAAATGCAAAGACGAAAAGTTCATTGGTCCAACTATCTGATTAAAAGCCGCAACTTTCAAACGTGTTTTCAGTCCTGATATAAAAGAACCAGCAGACTCCTGTGACTGGAGGAATATAATACAAACATCACTGCAGCTTTAAGGTTCACAAAATGTTTGCATGACAGTCTGTATTTACTAATCAAGATTTTCAGAATGTAATTAACAGAACATAATATGACCATCAAGTTCTTCTAAATGGAAGCAATTTAACAGCACGTCGTCCAAGCAAGTGTGCATCAGAAATGTCAACAGACTCTAACCTCTTAATGCTGCTTATGCAGAGGAAGAAATCTGATGTCATGGTTGCCTGCCCTTGGCTGTCAGGCCTGCTGACACACACATACATGTACAGACAAACGTTATTTACAGTATAATCACTTCCATGACAGTTCAAATGCAAGCCCGTCACTGGGTATTATCAAACTACTGAGGCGTTTAACAGTGAAAAGTGTCAGACCTACATATGACTGTTAACATATCCAGTGTGATCCAGTGGAGTAATAACCATCTTGGATATTTTCTTTCTGGTACTATCATCATAATGCTAATTGACCTGTTTAGGAGTTGATAAATTTGAAAGTTAGTAAGTATTATAATTTTGCTTTTAGCCAACTAATATATAAATCCAAGTTTGTAAAAAATTGTTGTTTTTTTTGTTTGTTTTTTTAAAGAATAGCAGACAGTTGGCATTTAGATGGTTTTTGAAGGCTAAAGTAGCTCTGTAAATCCTGTGCAGATGACAAAGTGATCATGAGGATCGCTCAGTCATCCCGCTGTTCTCTCTGCAGCTCATAACTTAAGTCACCCAAGCAGAATATGCCCATATCTTTGCATCCGACTATTGCAGAGGAGCATGCTGAGAGAGACTGGATGTAATTTGGGGTAATTTTGAGAGACAGTTGCAAATTAACATGGGCTTCACCGATCAACATGGAGTTGAAATTCAGGCACTCACATCCAGCAGACAC